ATATTGAAATATATAAAATAATAATAGAGGATAAATAAAAGCAACGAAGCTATCCAATATTATTTCTATATTTTTGTCTTTAATTAGTTAAAAATTTTTAATAAATATAATTCAAAATATAACTATTATAGTAATTTTAACACGATTGAATGCAGATTGGTCACATGAATTTTTGTTATTGACTGAAAGTTAATTATTTATATAAATTTTGTTATTGAAATCAACAGATAGAAGTATATTACATCACGAAATATACACATTTAGATATATGTCATATAATTGGTTTAGACTACAATAGACAGAGGAGATATAGGATCAGTGTCAACAATTTAATATAAAATGATAAGAGTGCGAACATTATTCATACTTTTGTGTCAGAAGTACTATTTCAAAAACATCAGAAATGAAATCAGGTACAACAAACAAAATGCTCCCTATACTGGCTTTATGCCTTTTGAGTGCAAACTTTTGAGATTTATAGGGCAAACCGGAGACAGTAGTAACACTTTAAATATTTAAAAACATACGATACATGTTGACACAAATTTTTGACATAAAATATAAAAGTTAAAACTCATCCATCTATAATATTATTAATATTTGTATAGATACGTGATAGACATTTCTGTAACGAGGAAAGAATATTTTCGACATTCTAAAGTTTCTCTAACAACTTCAAAATTGTAATATAATTATTCTACGCCGATGGTAATTAAATTATTCTTTCTCCTTTTGAATCTTTCTCTTTTTGACTTTTCTTCATTCATTATTCACTTACCTTTTCAGTATCTTACAATTGATACATCGGTTTCGTAGATTTTTTGAAAAATACCTTGATTTTACATTTTTGACATAATTTAAACACACATAATAACACAACTTCTATTCACGAAAAATAATTTTTCCTCCCATTCATAAAAAAATACACATATTTCGAAATAAAATGTAAAGAAAGTGAAAAAATAATTTTTAAGAAAAATATGTCAATTTTAATGGTTAATTTAAATTAACACTTTACACTCAAAATTATTTTTCAATTTAGTTACCAATAGTTCCTTACTATTTTAAATATTCTGTTCGAAATATATTTAACAGGACTGTTACTTATTTTAAAAAATTTTGTTTACTCATATTAAATATAGCTCTCAAACATTGTTGTATTTTCTTGTTCAGTAAATAAAGAATCGAAAAACGTTGAGTGTAACTCAACATAGGAGTTCCTGTGATAGAAACTAATGTCTAGTCACACTCGACAAAGGAGTGCAAAGGGTTAACCTTAATTTTTCACTAATAATCACATTAAATTTAATTTAATTTAATATTCCTCAAAAATCACATATTTTTCAAGTTGTCATTGGAGTTACCAGGACCTATAAAGCAGTATAAGATTAAGCGTTTCGTTACTGAAAATTTCCAACTGTAGTTCGAAAGTATAGTAAGTAGTTGCGATTTCGAATATTTTAACGAGTGCACTGTATCTTTCAAACAATTCCCACATAACAATTATTAATCAAACGTTACCGTGATTAGGCTGCTGCCCAGACAGACGAACCATCCCCAGCCGCCATCGACCGCTTTCTTCTTCACATTTCCGGTATCCATCGCGTTCAATTCGCACTATTTTCCATACGATTCACATATAATCGAGTTGAATGCGCGACGGAATTCGCGAGGAATTCGACGAGTGTCGCGCGGTACTTGCAGAAAAGTCGAGTTACTCGCGATCGTAGTTCGATTATTCCATATCTCGAGCTACAGTTTGGTCACCACCTCTTCATTCACTGTTTAACGAGCTGATACGCAATCCGGTACACCAGCCCTGTCCTTCCCTCACTTCTTGCCACGGTTAGGTGTATCGACGAGTCATCGGCGCGCTACGGAGAACCGATTCGTTCCTCGTTTGCCCCCTTTTGTTCTGTCTGTCAGTGGAAAAATACGCGTTACTTCCTTTTCTGGGAGTCTTAAAGCAAAGGTGTATTTTTATAACGAGCGTGCTGACGGTTGTCCGGAACTGGTGTCTCATTCGTTTCGAGGAATCGCGAAAATCGTCTCGCAGTGTCTCTTCGAGGTGGAAAATTCTTGCTGATATCCGGCTCCGAAGTTTTTATCGTTTCTATCGTTTTTCAGGATTTTTAGTTTATTTAAAACCGTGGTTTATTCAAGAAGCAATGCGTGGACGTCGAAGAAAATTTATAATATTGACAGGTGTATTTGTTATTCAGAGTGTGATGAAGTGACAGTGTAACAATGTCTTCGGTATTCTTTGGATAGCTTCGACGTGGTGTATATTTATTGAGGAAAGTTTAGAAATGAAATAGACATTTGTGAATTTTTTAATTGGGAACATTTTTAATCGAATTTTTTGAATTTCCGTTTGAAATTAAGGGAAGTTTCTTAATTAATATAATAATTCTTGATAAGTATTAAATGACGATCGAAATTAAGAATACATTTGTACATCGATAAACAATGTTTCTTTCAAACGTCTTGTATGAAGTCTAATTTTAATTTTAATCTACATATTTTAGAAAACAAAGGATATATAAAAATTCTCAAATTATTGCTTTGTTTTTCATTTTTGAAAGAGAAAGATGGAAGACTGTAAATAAAATTTGGTTTTTTAAGAGAAGGTTGTGGTAATGGTTAACATAGATTTTAATACATATGTGTAGATATAATAAAGGAGAGATGTCTGTAAGAAAGGGATGCGTGGGACAAGTATGCATGAATAAAAAAGTATAAAGTAAAAATTAAAGTATGAAAGTAGAAAGAACAAACCAGAAAATGAATAATAGTGAAAATATGTGTGAGAATGTGATTGCAAGAAATTAATTAGATTTATACTTAATATTTGTGTTCGATCATTTTTTCCTTTTTGTAATTAAATAAAGAATTGTTCTTATTGCTATTGATATTTCATCCATCACTAACAAAGGTTAGTATTATGCGATGATGTTGGCAGAAATGTTGATCAAAATTATTATTATCTTTGAAATATTTATGTAAATGTAAAAGTATGTGCGTTAAATGTAAAATACGAAGCTAACAGGATTGCCAATTTTTGCAGTTTGATTTAAGTTTAGGTTTTCGTACCTATGCTTGGAAAATTCTTGAAAACATAGATAGTGTGATATAAAAATGCAATTATTATTTCAAGAAATTATTTCGAGATTTATTGGAAAGTACATTTCATTTATTCATAATTCTAAGGAAATTAAATGCAATATAATATTTAAATTGGGTGAAACATGAGTATGAGTATGTAATGACTAGGTACTTGACTTTTTACGAAGATAATTATGAATATAATCTACTAATAATAGTTGTAAATAGTACGTCTATAAATTTATAATTATAGTATATTAATATTAGCTATAATTCATATAATGTATATATGCTTGTAAATCGTAATTTTATGAGAAATTTAATTTTCAGAATTTAATAAAATTTGTATCTTAATTTGTTATATTAATTTCGTACAGTACGAAACAAGTATGGAAGCATATGAAGCATATAAAAGCATATAATTTTGTGTAACCAAAATTCTTTTCATTACAATCATATTACGTGTATCATTGCAACTAACTAATTCTCTATTCGAGTAGCTATACAATTTATGATAATATAATACGTAATTATTTTCTTCTCGACGATAGTCTATAAAATATAGAAAATAAATATTTATTATCGTGTTTAAAGTTTTCTTCATACTTCTTCAAATGATTTATCATTCTCGTGAAATCACTTTCTGGTTATTTCATTTTTCATATAACACACACAGTTACGCTTCGAAGCTCTAGCTTCATAACTATACAGGATGTTTCGCAACATGCGATCATTAGAAGTGCTCATTATCTATTAAGAAGCAGTAAAAGAAGTTCACGTAAACTTGAATGTTGGTTGTTCTTATTTATAACGGATTTTTTATTTAATTTTAGTAAAATTATGCGAATAGAAAGGAAATAAAAAGTGAGATTAAGTTGCAAAATGCGAAATAACGCAGGAAAATGAACACGGAAAGCCTGTCAGTGAGAAGTTCTGCAGTAAAACGAAGGCGATGAAGGTGAATGGAAGTAGATAAGAAAAGTTCGGAAATGGTATAAAATTATAGAGTTTGTAAAGAAAGAAGAAAACCGAAAGACTGTGAAATATCAACAAAAGGACGAGAAGGAGAAGAAAGAAGAGAACAAATGGACATTTACAGAAATTATAGGAAACGAAAAATATTATGATAAATTGCTACATCGTATAAATAAGGGAAATTCATTGTATTCGTAACATTTAATTTTTGTATCGAAAATAATGAAGTACTATGTCATAGGTACTAAGTAAAACAGAGTCATTAAAAAGTGTTATTTGATTATCTTTACAGAAAGTGCTGAAGATGACATCTTGCATTTGAAGGTAGACTTCTTGTCACTGATCTAGTTATCGTTCCATGGGTTTCTTAGAAATTAAAGAGCTTGTTTTTATATTATAGTAACTATACTTCAACACTATTTATACATTTTTTTTTCTAATATAGTAGTCATTATAATAACTTTCATTTTTACTAATTTCCACTTTACTTTATTAAATTTATGTACGCCAGAAGAATTTTTCAAAATTAATAATATCCATGTATTAAAAAAATTTCCTATAACACGTAATTTTAATTTATCCAACGAATTTTCTATATTACTCAATTTCTACCGAGTAAAAATATTTTCGAAAGTATTAAATTTCTATTTAGGAGAATGTCTTAAAATTATTCAGATTTTATTTGTATAAAATTTTGTGAGATACTATATTCCCATTTAGTAAAAGATTCTTCAAAATTTTACTCACTAAAAAATGATTCACAATACTAAATTGTATTTGATAACAAAATATACTGAAATGACTATATTACTAATTAGTAAAACTATTATTAATTTGCATTAATTTTTCATTTTTATAAGTTTTTAATTTTACGAAAGTTCTTCAACTTCTATCTATACGATCATCAGAAAATTGTTCATTATTTTCCAATATACAATTAGCTACCGTAATAAGTTCAATATATTATGAATCACCCTGTATATACGGACGGATATGTAAATGGCACTTTTTTTGCTGCAGGACAAATTATCATAAGAAAATTGCCCCTGACGGAGGAGTCACGGGAATTCCGACAAGTAAATATAGTTACATGCCATTTAAACGTGATATTTTTCTGCTAAACGGAAAAACACTAGGCTACACACGTGAAATGACACCTTCACGTTCTTTCATTGCTCCTCGAACGAGGTGAGCAATTTTCTACGAGCACTTAACTTTATGCATTATTTTAATTTTAACCGAGCTTTGAACTTGCTAACTTTCGATCATGTTTAACGACTCTGCGACTATTTATTAAGAAACTTTGTAGCTCGAAAATGTTTTGACAACGAAATTTGAACGAGAACTGGAAACAAGCGAAAAGCTTAGGTTTCTTATCTATAGCAATTTGCTTGTCGAAACATATTAAATATGATAAGCAGGATTGTTGAAATTGCGTATGCCGATATAATTTTTAAACTAAATGAGTTGTGAATATGCTTTGTGAACGAATACTTGTAGCTCATAATTCTGTGTAACTCGTAAAGAAAAATTTTCACAAATTTTCGTGCAGTTTTTCCTTTTTTTTTTGTATAAATACGAAAACAGTATATTTTGAAGCCCAATTAACGAATAAATTATAATTTGCTGCAGCCACAGAATTATTCAAACGTCATAGAAAATTGATACAGGTTGCTGGAATAATTTAGACCTTAAATTATGCAATAGCTAATTGTAAAAAAGAGAAATAAAATAGAAATTAGCATTGTTTGAATAGTTATAAAGTGTACCGTAGATAGATGTTTCTTTGAAATTTTCATAGATATAAATAATATTATGAGTAAGTCGCCAATGTTTATGCAAATGATTACTTTTTAACTTCCGAAAATTAGGAAACCTGACAGAAATTTGCTCTGTCACTGAAAGATTTTGAAAATACTTGTAGTTTTTATTTTTCACGTAGCATATATTTCCCAAAAATGCATAATTTATTGAAAACAGGAAATATTTCTAATGGAAGCTGCGGAAGGAAGATTAAGCAGAAGTATTATTTTTATAAACAATATAAATATTTTTATAAATAATGTACTAGAACGAATACTAAATATGAATACAGAGAAGAATAGAATACTTAAGTACCAAGGTATAAGCAGGACTTTCCGCGGGGCCGGGTTCAAAAATTTTGCGAAGCCAGAATACACGTTTAAATCCGATATGGTATCGGTAAATGGTATGGTATCATCATTCTGTAAAAAGTTAATCAAAATTGGTGTTTTCTAATTGGGTGATTTCCATAACACCTAATATTTTCCGCACCCGTGTTGCAGTCGTATCAACCTTTGATGTCAACGTTTAATGTCAACGTTTAGGACATGCTGCAACGAAATATTTCAATGCAAAGATGGCAGAGAAAATCTTGCACTCGTGTCAGTGTACAGCAAGCTGTACCATATCCAATTAATCCATAATCGATTAATGGATTATGCTATTGCATTTTCTACACACACGAATATTCAATCTACTATACAGGGGGTTTTGCAAAATGTCTGATGAGTTTTCGTAGACCGAGGGTCCTTTCAAGACGCGGGCCAGGTTCCGGTGAACGCTTTGAACCTGCCTCGCGCCGG